AGGTATGGTTTCCTTCATGCCGTCAGCGGCGGCCGTTGAAAGCATGCCGCGAAGGTTGCCGCTGACGGTTTGATTGGCTGGTTGCCCCTACACCGTCGACAGTATACAAGGTGATTCTGAAATAGGTGGTCAAACTTTGGGAGTATATAGAGTGAGTGAAATGATTACGAAAACCTTGGTAACATTTTTTTCTGAAGTGCCCCCCAAGAAAGATACAGCCCCTCGAAGGGGGGTCTCGGAGAATGATTTTGTATTATTATCTCCAACACCTTGTATGATGAAAATCCAAAATTTTGTTTATATATTAACTATTCAGTGCCGGTTCGAATGGAGTTAAAATCACCTCAAAATTAAATACAGGGGTGTGTCAAAATAGGGAGGTGGGGGGTAAAAATAACCCCAACTTTTTTGTTCATCACAATTTCAGTTTTTTTACATGAAATTATGAAATCTCAGGGATATTAACATAGAAAAGGAGCTCTTGTTGAATCTCGATAAAATGAACCATTAGCGAATAAAATTTATTTTTCCAAGATTTCATTTAAATTGCAATTTTGGTGTGCACTCACGTTTAATTATCTAGTTCAAATCTTGCAACTGAATTTTTACCTACTTCTAATCGTCTGATCAACTTGGAATCTGGCAGATGACAGTTGATAACGCGTTATGGACTTTTTGATAGAAAAAAATATGGCGGCTCCAATGTGGCTGACCAGATTTGTGATTATGGTCCGATCCGATTCAAAATTGGTTTGTAAGGGTTTTTGGAGTTGGAAATTTTGAATTCGTTGTCGGAATTCATGAATTAAAAATAGACGACGATTTTCGTGATTATGGATGATCCTATTGAAAATAAAATAAAAAATATTGTAAAAAACAAGCTTTTATTATTTTAACTATTGAAATACAAAATCGAAGATGAAATAAGGCGAATGCTCTAAAAATGAGAAAAAAATGCTTCTAGATATCTTCTTCCACTTCCTGGAGCATTTGAATGGAAGCATTATTATCACTGATTTTTTTCTACCTTATTTTATTACATTTTCATACAACATAACTCCAACGAAATGGAACGTAGAATTTAACACTGAGTTAGAGAGCATAGCAGGAATGAAGAGAGGGATGATGAAGTTTTCGATTAGTAAGATTCTGGAGAGAGGCAAGTTGTATCACGATGAAATAGTGAGAGATCCGCAACATTTCTTCAGCGTAATAAGAATTCTCTAATGACTTGATGCTTAATCATCATTTCACTCCTCAAAGTGTCCTTCATTTACTTCTATGCACTGACGCAGTCTTTTTTCAAGAGAAAATAATATGCGGTTAAGCCTTCCCTCATGAATTATTTCAGTGAAAGCGTTTTCAATTCTCTGCTGCAGTTCTTCGATAGAATCAATCGACCGGGAATATACTTTTTCTTTCATTTGTCCCCAAACAGTGAAGTCCATAGGATTGAGATCTGGTGACCTCGGGGGCCAATTCACAGGAGCATCATGACCTCGACCTATCCATCGATTCGTGAAATTCTCGGAGAGCCATAATCGACACTGTCGACTGAAATGGGGTGGGGCCCCATCGTACATGTACCAAAGAACATGCCATCTCGCCAGAGGAATTTCTTCCAAAAGGTCAAACAGTTGGGTGGATAAAAACTCATGGTACATTTCACCGGTTAAATTACCTGGGAGAATGTGATAGCCTAAAAGCTCATTCCCAAGTGTTGCTGCCCAGACATTAATTTTAAAAGAATGTTGATAATGAGTAACTTTTTTGGCATGGGGATTCTCATCGGCCCAAACATGTTCGTTGTGCATGTTAAACACTCCGCTTCTGGTGAAAGTAGCCTCATCACTGAAAATGATTTCAGAAAGAAAATTGGGGTTTTGTTCACGCCGAATCAGAAGCCAATTACAAAATTCCATTCGTAGGGGTCTATCTCCTGGCAAAATATCCTGGACTTGTCGGTAATGGTAGGGATGCAATTGTTGTTCTAGTATTCTCCAAACAACCGGTTGTGACATATTCGTTTGTAATGACAAACGCCTGGTACTTGACGAGGGGTTATCTTCAATAATATTCAGAATATTTTCCTCATAGTCCTTCGTCTTCCTCTGTCAGAAGTTCTGGGTTTCAAACTCCCACATTCACGTAAACGTCGTTCAGTAGACAGGAAAGTTTTGTAATCTGGTAGATTTCTTCGCGGATATTTCTCATTGTACCGCCTCACTGCAGCCCGTGCACTTCCATGACATTCGCCCAATGTTAATAGCATATCTACGTACTCAGAAATGTATAGTTTTTCATGTTTGATGATTTGAAAACAATGCTAACGAAATTCCAACTGATTTCGACAATTCTCAAAACTGACAATAAAATGTCAACTGATAATCTAGTGGTTCTATTTGTATTCTCTGTTCCCATATTTTTACTTCCCATCGGAGAATTGCAATGTGAAAATCAATTTTATTCATTTTATCGACATTCAACGAGAGCATACCATTTTTATGTAAATAGCCCTGAAATTTCATAATTTCATGTCAAACGACTGAAATTATGGAATTATGTCGTGAACAAAGACTGTATCAAAGCATAAAAATGAATGGAGGACACTTTGAGGAGTGAAATGATGATTGAGCATCACGTCATTAGAGAATTCTTACAACGCTGAAGTAATGTTGCGGATCACTCACTATTTCATCGTCATAGAGCTTGCCTCTTTCCAGAATCTTATAGAAAACTTAATCATCTCTGTCATATTCCGGCTGTGCTCTCTAACGCTCTCTAACTCAGGGTTAAATTCTACGTTTCATTTCGTTGGGGTTATGTTGAACTGAAATGTGATAAAATAAGGTAAAAAAATCAGTGACAATAATGTTTCTATCCAAATGCTTCAGGAAGTGGAAGAAGATTTCTTCAGATATGTAAGCTATCGAATACCTTACTCACAGAATAACTTACGTGAGATATCCAAAGCATTTTTCTCGTCATTTTCAGAGCATTTGAAAAAAGGCTTGTCTTTTTTCACCTTATTTCATCTTTAATTTTTTATTTCAATAGTTAAAGTAATGAAAGCTTGTTTTCATCAATATTTTTTATTCTATTTTTGATAGGATCAGTCCATAATAACAAAACTCGTCGGCTATTTTGATTTCACGAATTCCGACAACGAATTCTAAATTTCCAACCCCAAAAATCCTCACATACCAATTTTGAATCGAATCGAACCATAATCACAAATCTGGTCAGCCACATTGGAACCGCCATAACGCATTGTCAACTGTCATCTGCCAGATTCTGAGTTGATCAGACGATCTGAAATAGGTAAAAATTCAGTTGCGAGATTTGAACTAGATAATTAAACTTGAGCGCACACCAAAATTGCAATTTAAATGAAATCTTGGAAAAATAAATTTTATTCGCTAATGGTTCATTTTATCGAGATTCAACAAGAGCTTGTTTTCTATGTTAATAGCCCTGAGATTTCATAATTTCATGTAAAAAAACTGAAATTGTAATGAACAAAAAAGTTGGGGTTATTTTTACCCCCTACCTCCCTATTTTGACACACCCCTGTATTTAATTTCGAGGTGATTTTAATTTCATTCGAACCGGCACTGAAAAGTAAGTGGATGGACAAAATTTCAGATTTTCATTACACAAGGTGTTGGAGATACTAATTCAAAATCATTCTCTGAGGCCCCCCTTTGAGGGGCTGTATCTTTCTTGGGGGTCACTTCAGAAAAAAATGTTACGGAGGTTTTCGTAACCATTTCACCCACTCTATATGCTCCCAAAGTTTGACCACCTATTTTAGAATCACCTTGTATATTTGTCGGCGACCAACTCATAAATCGCCTACGCTTATGGATCTGTTTAATTCTTCTTGACAGTTTGTCTATTATATCTCATTTTATGGGTCTAGCCCGATAGCTGACAGTTTCGGTTTTAGAATAATAAATATCTAGAACACATTTGAGGCCGTTTCAGGATTTTTGTTACGGGGGAAACGTGGAGGGCCGAAGGGTGCCCGAAGCGAACGACACGTAGGCCCGCTGGTCGGGGTGCTCAGGTTCTCGGGAGACGAGAAAGAATACGGATGATATAATTCGATAGAGATTTTTGATAGTGGCTAGCGGGATCTACGGATCGTTTCGTTCCCTTGTCCCTCTTCACGTATTAATAGTAGCTCAATCCCCTTGTATTCAGTATCGTGTTTTGTGTTATTTTATGTTCACTTGTTTAATTAAACAATAATTAGTCTCAACAATCAGTGTCGTACTTGGTCAACATGTCTAAGCAGCTTAACCCCGAAGCCGCCCTCACTTCTCCGACATATTTTATCTTTTATCAACGTCCATGGATGGTTGTATTGTGTCGCCGGGGTGCAAAATAAGGAATGATCAGAGAAGAAAAGTTCTTCGCCTCGTTTTGCTACAAGAAGAGGAGGAATTATCAACTGCAAATTCACCATTAACACAAAAAACAAATGGGACTTTTCAAAAACCAAAACTGTGTCAATCTTTTTTTGTAGTAAATATAAGCAGTGATGAACTGATCATGTGAAAACAAAAAACTAGTAGAGGCACCACAAAACTATATCAGAAAAGTCTGTGGAATCGTCATCAGGCTGGGGTGATGGTTGTGGCGGTGTGGTTGTTGTCTTGTATAATTAAGCGGTAGCATTAAAATGAATCGTGGATTTGGTGCATTACTAGAAGGAACCGTCATAGAGGCATCATTCTGCTGATCAGGAGCTTCTGGAGGAAATTGTATCTCTGTAATGAGTGCTAAAATTCGCATTTTTACGTCTGCAATTTGTCTTGGTGATAGCTATTTCACTGTGGTCGCAACACTTTTCATAAACATATCTACGTCATCTTCATCGTTTGAACATATCTCTTGGAGAATTTTTGTTCTTTCCGCAGCCCGTTTTTCTAATGTTACTAGCACAATGTTTTGTGTTCGTCTTTTTTTAGAAGTGCTTGGCGCAGAAGATTCACCTGCCTCATCGTTTTCATTTCTTTCAGACATAGATGCAGTCGTTTTGCATGAAGAACGAACACTGGTAGTTTCTCTTTCTGATTCATGGCCATGACTCTGAGGATCATCTTCCTGATCCCAATTTTGTGATTCCTGTATTTCTTGTGAGTCAAGTGGAGAGTTTTGCTCTTCTGCAATTGCATTGTACGACCTACATAAAATATACGACAATTGACTACCCACCTCCCTCAAAACGATTTAAGTACTCACCTTCTTTCGTATTCGACTGTTTCTAAAAATTAAAATGCTCATTAAGACGCCACTTTAATGATTTTGTATTCGCCGATCCGGTCCCCTGCTTCTGGCTCTTTCTTATTTTAAGAAAATTGTCCCTGATTGATCGTCATCTCCTTTCGCATTATTCCTCTGTAATAATGTATCTTATAACTAATTTAATGAACCGTATTTGTTACAGGTATATGGCTACAGGAGAATAATTTCGATCGCTTGCATTCGTATTCTGCATATCAGACACCTACATCAGTGTAATAGTTAAGAGTACTTTACTTTAAATGCGATTTGTAGACACCTTCTTCCTATATTCTTGCCAACACCCGAAGTTTGAAACACGAATCTGAAGAATTCTCACAGAAATGGAATTTTCCACATTGTGTTGCAGCAATTGATGGAAAACATGTGAGGATTGTGTGCACAGAAAAAAGCAGATCATTATTCTTCAATCTTCCGCAGGTTGCGCTCACATTTTGGGCAAGAAGGCTCGCGCGCGGACTCTCAGTCCGCAGCCATAAAACGTGCTTCTTAATGATTGTTTCAAAAAAATATTAGCAATAAAAGTTGATTTTTATTCAACTTATGTTCTCATTTGTCAAATACATTGGTTTTGGCATCTTATCAGAAGTTTTTTCTAACAAAATAAATAATTATATAAAATGAACATTCAACAACTTCAGACAGATTCTAGAAACTATAGAAAGAAAATAAATTGTCTCATTCTGAGCGGTATTGCAGACAAATCATAAGTGAATGCTCCAAACAAACACATTAACAGCATTCAATACAAAAAAAACGGGGTCAATTTTTTTTTCTATCGCAGTATAAGCATCGTCCACGCTGTCCTGCTGGAACGGGCTCAGGTGCAGGCGTATCCAATTCCAAAAGTTCTTTTATTCTCAACTGCGTAGACTTGGGAATGGTTTGCGTCACTCGGCGGCGTAGATGGACCTTCACTAACTGGAATGACAAGGATCGTAGAAACTTTCTTCTCACTATCGGGATTATTCATGGAATACACCACAAAAGAATGTATTCCCGATACATTCAGTAGATAATAAAACACTACCATCGGCCATCTTCTTGTGTTTCGCGCACAATTACACTGAAAGAAAACTTGAGTAATCATAATTGGAAATCAAATAACCGTTAATACGATATCTGCAATAAATAGGGGACAGATGTGTTATTTGCTACCATTGATGAAGTGAATTTTCAGGTGTCTTGTATTTATGGCAGCTCAATCAATTTGCAAACTTGTATAAAAACACCGCTGCTGAATAACTACCACTTGTTCTAGTTTCTATAATAACACAGAGTGTCGAATAGGCATTATTCCTATAAAATGTTGCAGTAACTGATCTACTCTACAGTGGTTATTAGACTATCGACATAAAACAGCATGTTTTTATTACTGGTACAACCATCTCGAGGTAACGCAGTGATTTGTCTAATTTTATTAGTTATCTGATATCTGAATGAAACTTGACATTCTGACATGCTATTGTAGTATAGCTCATTTTCAACAGTTATCCCAATATTTTGGTACTCTAGTATATTTATCAAACAGTGGTAATTAGTTTATCTAATCAACATTGTCCCTCTCAGGGGCTCACGACTTGTGAGTACGGGATTGGCAATCCCGAGGTACCCTAGCCGGATACTCATTAATCTTCAACTTGTCTTTGATGGTATCCTTTTCACTCAGTTTCCAATCTTCTTCTTCATCGGCCTCCCTTGGTCACTCCTCTTTTCCTTCTCCCCTAAAGCCCAACCTCACCATAGTGCGGGGAGGACAAGCCGCGGCTGCTCGGCAGATTGAGCATTTTGGGAAAATCTTTGCTGTCATCCCTCAGATTTGGCAGTTTTGTGGACATCTGAGTGCGAGGATGGGGCAATTTGTGAACATCTGCTTATGTGGCCGCGGATTGATAACGAGGCTCTGGCAATCCCCTCTGGGGCTCACAAATTGTGAGTACGGGAATGGTGAACCCGAGGTACCCTAGCCGGATATTCACCATACTTCAAGTTGTCTTGGGTGATATCCTCTTCTCTCTTCCGTTTTCAATCTTTCTATCGGCCTCTCTTGGCCAACTCCTCTTTTCCTCTTCCCCTCCAAGCCCAACCTCACCATCAAGTGGTGTGGGGAAGGCAGGCCGCGGCCGCTTGACAGATGAATAATTTTGGGACCATCTTTGCTATCTTCTGCCAGATGGGACAACATTGTCCGATGTTATGCATCATGAAACCGTGCAATGAGAATGAATATCTTATCCACACTAACTTCTCATGATCCAAAGTTTTTTTTCAAAAAACAAAAAGTATGCTTAGTCTCTGAATCGAAATATTTGGATTTCTCTTGGAGTTTTTTGACATTACTCATCGGTTTTTTTCTGAGAAATATCATCTATATGCATATTGAAGAATTTTTTAGGAAATGAGAAGTTGAATACTTATATTTACTTTTCCTTCGGAGTCATGATGAGGATTGTCAATAAAATTTCCCTCACAGGAACCCAGATATTTCGATTCAGAATTTCATCGATCATTTTGTTCTCTGTGCACAGCCAGCACTAAAACAAAATTTTTTTGAACACATTCACCCACAAGACACGGATCTATCGATTCGGACGATCGAAACCATTGAACAATAATTGAACACGGGCACCCATGACCGAGAACACAAGTAAAAATGAACACGATCTGTAGCTTCGTCAGCCCCAAAACTAATGAAAAACTAGAGCGAAATGAGCCGAATTCCGATTGTCGAATGATTGTCTAATAACCGTCATACATGTGAATTGCTACAGTTATTCGTCAACGTGCAATGCCAGAAACCCAAACAGCTATGATTATTGGGACAAATATTATCTGAATTCACCAAAGAGCATAATTCACATGACGAGCTATGTTAATAAAAAATCTAAATAGACTAGAATTTATAAGATTCTCATAATGTCTCAACACACCTGCGCTATGATGGTAGCAAATATCGATTCAAGGGTATTATAAATGGTTTAAGAAAGCGATTTTTATAATTACAGAATGGAGAGAATACTGTTGTAATGATGAAATGATCAGGAATAGGAGATTTTTTTCATAATGGTTTTTACAATCAGTGCTGATAGATATTTTTAATATCCAGTTTCTCTCAGTGTAGTGGGCATTCACACCAAAGTGGCATGCGACGTGCAGCCGGAAGACAAGTAGCATGTTTTCGTTCACACCAAAGTCGCACAGTACGTCGCGTCAGTCTTGTTATTTTCAACCCCCAGTTGCCTTGATGTCGTCGTCAGATTAAGACATTGTGTTGCTGCTGCGGTTGCCAAAAGAAAAAAACTAAGAAGAAAGAGAATATGGGTTCATCCACATTTATTAGATGATGCTGATACACATAGCATGTTTGTTGTATCCCAACAGCTACAACTACATCCTCAGAGATTCCAGAACTTCTACAGGATTCGCAGGGTATAACATGAAGTTATAGTCATGTTGTAGCCATCTGGCAAAGCTCTTAGGTAGGATACAGAAATCAACACATTGTATGGCGCTGCCATCTATAGTCACACGTACAGACCCCTACGTCTATACGCTACAGAGTGGTACTACAAGTTAACCATTCTGCTGACAGATGGCACTACCTGACATACTTGAGTGGAATTTTTCCACCACCTATTCAACTGCTAGATCTCATAACTAAGAGATCCAGGATGAACAGGGTTGCCCCAATTGTTAGCAGGAGCGAGACAGTACTGTTTCGACCCACCAGGTCTCATCAGCCGCTCTCGGTCTGCTGACAACTGGTACAACTAGTTTATTGAACATAGTGTAGGAACTAAAGAACAAGAAAAATACGCCAACACTAATGTATTGAACATAGTTTAGGTAGTTATATACTGAAAAACATATGTGTACACATACAATCGTTAAAGTGATATAAGTGATGTTGAGTCATTGATTCATTATTGTGGAGTGTACGTGTATTGAATCACCATGCTGATGATCATGGACATAATCAGGTGCAGACGCACTAGAATAGCTTGATGCGCTAACGTGCTCGAATTGCCGGTCAGGATGAGAACATGCTGATGTTGTATTCACGTCATGCAACATACCGTCAAATGTCTGCAGAACCACAACTTCAAATCTACGTTTCTGGGAATCACTCTAAGCACCAACATCAGGAATGCGTTTAAAAAAATCTAAGTCCGGATTTCCTGGTTTTTGTGCATTTTTTTGGGACAAGTAAGTAACGACAGCAGTCTCCAGTGCATCAACTGGCGGTTTCAAAGCCTTCCTTGTTGTTGAGGTTGTGCTAGATAAAGACTGTGCACGTGACGGTGTAAATGACGGTGTGTGTGTTATAAGTCAGTAACTCTGTCTCTGGATGATCATCAGGGGTGTTTGCTTCACGACCATCAGATCTGAAGTCAGTTTCATCGTCGTCTATACTGAAGTGATCGGTTGCAACGAGGTCATCTTCATTGTTCGTACTAGGCAAATTTCCCTATTGATGCCTCGATTTCGTGAATAGTAATACGAATTGCATAGCATCCCATAAGTAATTTTTTTTTGGTATGTAGCTGCATCTCCACTTTTTCTAGTACACCGATTTAAATATCGTGTCAGGCCACCTCGGAGTGTATTCCATTTTTTCTTGCAGGCAGATGCTGAAAACGTATGTGTGGGTAGACCCTCATTTTGTTTACTTGTTACATCAAAACAACCAACTGACAAAAAACTAGCTTTGTAGCGATATAAGCCAATTTTCTGTCGCTGTCTCCCGGGCTATTACTACTTCACTTCGAGTTTTATAAAGAAATCTCAACGATAAGCAGTATAATTGCTGATACTGCTGAGAAACTGTGGATAGTCCCTCAACCTCAGTACATGGCATTACCGACAATAGAGCAATGGAAACATATTTTTAGCAGATATTATGAACTATGGAATATGCCAAATTGCTTTGGCTCTATAGACGGCAAATACATACGAATTAAGTGCACCAAAAAAAAAAAGATTCGGCATATTACAACTACAAAGGTTACTTTTCTATAATTTTACTGGTCAGTGCGGATAGAGATGGCATATTTACTTTTATAAGTGTTGGTGACTATGGCAGGAATAGTGATGGTCGTGTGATTGAATCTTCCGGTTCTTTTTGGGCCCTTTCCGAAATCGAATTGAACATGCCACCTCCTGCGGTCTTGCCGAATGATGAGAACAATTCCACGTTTCCAATGTTCTTTGTAGGAGATGAAGCATTCCCGCTTAATACAAATATCACGCAATCTCATCCCCGAAAAACCCTAACGATAAAAGAATATTCAACTATAGGCTTTCGAGGGCTCGGAAAAGTGTTGAGTGTTCATTAGCTGGTTTCCAAATTTCGAATTTTTGAAACACAAATTGCTTGTGAACCAGATAAAGTTACTTCTATTGTCAAAGCTGCTTGTGTTTTGCATAATTTTATTCGGATACACGATGGTCATTTTTTTACATTTCAACGAACCAGATGTTGATGCTGCCTACCATGCGTTGCCAGGCCTACGATAAGAGCTTCACGGCCGTCAACCGATAGCAGCAAGCCACTTACGAGATAGGTTTTGTGCATACTTTGTTAAACCTGAAAATGCATTGATATGGCAAAACAATGTTTGTCTATAAATACGCCAGCCGTAGCATTGTCTTTTGTTGTTCGAGTATAAAACCTTCCAATGCAAATAAATATCCTAAATGGTTATTCCATGTACTTACTTTTTTCGGCTATCCTGAGGTACTTCACTAAATAAGCAAAATAACTCAATAGCTAGGTATATAAACAACACTTACCAGTAGAAGAATATTTTACAGCAACTTTGTTCCACGCCTTGTCTTGCTCATTCCTGTTGCTTTATGCCTTTATGGTATGGTCATACAGGCACGGGTATAACTCTACTGTCCGCACAAACGATGTATTGAATTCGTCATCATCTGGTAAACTTCTGGACAACTTGAAACAACGTAGGTACCCCAATACTAATCGACTTGTGCAGGGCTCCGCTTCCCGTCGCAGAGTGGCAAAATATAGGGCCAATTCTATCCGTTCAAGTAGCATGTCGCATGTTGCCACGTCGCATAATGCGACGCCACTCCAGTATGCACGGATACATTAAGGGAGGTCCGCCAACGGTGGCCACCCTTTTTCATATATCAGGTCACCGGTCATCTCTTCTGAGAGCCCGAACTCCTTCTCTTCTTCTCTCACTCTTGGCTCGTTGATCCTTTCCTCCAGGGTTGCCAACTAAAAAAATTTAGAATTCTCAAAATTCAACAGATTTCAACAAATGGAAGGTTCAATCAAGATAAACCCATCAATGAGGTTGTTTTTTGTTTGAAAAAGAAATAGGTTGCCTGATAACCTTCATTACGTCATCTATATGCCTCGATAACCAATCGATTGCAAATCTTTTAATCTTCATCACAACCTACCAATGACGTCATCAGTTTATCATTACCAGTCATTGATGCAACAAAAATTGATTCTTACCCATTTTGTGTTGGAACAAAATTCATTCTGAAAAAACAATTATAAATTTGACACAAAACAAAAAAATTCTCATTCTAAGGATAATAACAAGAATAAATTATTGCAAATTTTTATAAACATAAACAAAAAATTCTAACCATTTTTCGTATTAATTAGTTGGCTATTGCAAGATGGTATCTACCTATAAACAGTAATCCTTGTTCTGCCTGATCAAAATCTCATCGGGCAATTTATAAGAATTGCAGCATTTACCTTTTCTCTTCATACTGAACTTTATTTTTGAAATATTGTTCAAGAAGTTCGATTGCATTTGATTGTGAATTTATATTTTGACAATACTCATTGAACTAAAAACTCTTTCCACATATGCATTTGAATGAGTTAAGCAAAGGATTCAACCCAGATATGCCTGAGATCTTTCTATTCTGATTTTCCATTCAAATTCGAGTATGATACTTGGTGAACCTACCTTTTGTCATTTCTAGAAACTTTTTTCGATAAAAACACCATATTGTACCAAAAAATTGGTGTTCGATTGAACGGACAGTAGGCACCTTGGTACTAGAATTTGTATATATTGCAAATAAAATGAGAATCTTATCAGGTAGATATTTATTACAAGAATAAAAAGAACACTGAACAAATTGATTTACATTTGCGAAGCAGGTGTATGGTAGGTCTCAAAGCATCGTATATGTAATGCAACTTTACACTTTTTACAGACTATAGAAACAGCTCTATGACAAACTCTACAGTGTGTTGGCTTCTTATGTGATGCTACAAGGTGATCAATCCGGTCAAATCTTGAATCAACATTTTCCATAGATGATGGTCTAGATCTTTTTCGATTATTTCCCCTCAAGTTAGTTTCAAGAAAAGATTTAACTATCCTTCTTCGAAACGTTAGATGATCCAATTTTCTGTTCTCTGTTTTTTGTGTAGGACCCAGGCATTTTGTACTGCTAAATCCAACATATCAGCAAAAAGAGGAAAATACTTATAATTATACACTTCCAGAGCTTGAGGTTGCTCCAGGGCTATACGTTTTTTTTGTTTCAGTTCGTGAAAAACGTGTAACTGGATGAGTTGGTTGTATCCCTACGAAATTCGATATAATATTCACAATATCATTATCATTCCAAGAGGCAATAATGATGAAACGTTTGTTGGTAGATTGGAAATCCCAGCTGCCTCGTTCCGTTTTATTTTGTTAGAAGGTTAGGACAGTTTCCTCGTCTATTTTCCCGGATAGTCCCTGTCGCTTTCATTCTTCTGTTGGTGAGTTCTTCTACCAGAGGTATGTTCGAAAAAAAATTGTCGAAGAAGAGGTGATATGGGGCATTTATTTTTGAAGAAACTATATCAGCGTATTTCAAGATAATTGAACGTTCCAACCTCATGTCTTAATATTTTTTTATTTCCGATTTCGCCCCTTGATAGGGTTTAAACCAGTTGATATAGCCATGAAATGTCGCACGGACCCAAAATTGATAGCCAAATCGCACCGGTTTTCCTTTGATAACTTGTTTTCCTGGATGTCTTCCAAAATACGGCACCATAGCCTCATAAATGCTATGCTGCTCTACATGTGGTGCATTTGCTAAACAATTTTCATTCATCTTGTCAAAGAGAGGCCTCATTTTTGCTAAGCAATCACTCCCATCTAAGTTATTGTTGTCGCAGCAGTGAATGTTAGACATGATGTAATCAAATCTATCCCTACTTATGGCATTTGAAATCAAAATGTTTCTAGCATCATCTGAATTCTCCCAGTACATGCGTCTTCTATCTGAGGAATAGCCACTCACCAACAACACTCCCAGAAAACATTTCATCTCATCATAACTTATATCTGCTTTTCTATTTCGTTTTGCAGCATACATATTGCTATACTCCACTATAAGTTTCATCACACCCTCATCAAAAAACTTGGCGTCATTGGAACACCGTAGAAAGGTCGGCGACCTTTCACTTTTCTATCGATACTTCCACGGGAAATGTTCTTCGGAAATCTATCATCTATCATCCCTTCACTAGCAATACCAGTCAGACGAACTAGACAAGCCCAGTCAGCACATCCTTTCGTTGTCAACTTCGAAAGATGTCGAACAGCACTTTATCAAAACTCCTTCATCCATAGAACGGCTAGGCTCTGGAATTCATTGCCTGAGGAAGTATTCCCAACAACATATAATCTCCAGAAGTTCAAAAAAAATTCCAATACCTACCTCCTATTCCTATCCTCCCTAGGAACGCACGATTTTCTTTGAACATTATAGGGATTCCCTTTCGTGCGCTCCAAGCGATAAAAAAAAGCTGTGAATGCTGGTGTCCAAGGAATATTCAACTTCTCATTGTCAATATCGAGCTTTTCCCATTTATATAGTTTCTTTTTATTAGGTTTAGATTTCAAAAAACGTGACAATAGCAAATTATCACTCTCATCCCACATATCCTCCTGACTTTGTCGTTCTTCCATTTCCTCTGGGTCTCCTTGACTGTCTATGCCCACATTTTCTTCATCCTGATTGTAAATTTCCGCATCGGTCAATAATTGTGATGCTGGTAAGGTACTGATTAGCACGTCTTGTTCGTCACCTGAATATTCATCCGTGAAATCATCATTCGCATTTTGAGGTGGAAAAATGATAATATCAGTTTCGTTTGTTGAGTTAGTGTGATGCGGGGTCTGGTGTATATCATCTTCTAGCTCAGCAAGAAGGTCATGCAAGGTCAAGCCACTAAAAAACAATGCTATTCTTATTTCTTGGAAAACCCATCACTATCTACGAAATTTGATATATTCAACTGTTATATGCCTACTGTACGTTTTAACGTACATACGATTTCAGAGCCCTGCTGAGAACTCGAAACCATAATTTACTATGTGACAGTTGCATGAAGTGTTACCTATACATGTTTATAACTCATTTATGAATCATCTCGGAAAAATAAAATGAATAATGTGAAGTTTACTCACCCGACAGGTAGCAAATCAATTGGATTATGCATCATACTACACACAGTCGGCTAAAAAAATCGTTTTCACTCTTTTAGTAACTCACGTTCGGTATTCAACGGCAGAATATCATTGAATGTTATATTGACACAATGCCCAACGATGCGCCATCTATCTGCAATCTTCTGAAATCGTGCAATATATATCAGACTAGAGATCTGCACGCTGTTCGCTTAAACGTACAGTAGGCATATCTGGGTTAAAGCAAGATTGACTAGATTTTGAACACCACTTGGTTTTCTGTTTCGGGCCATAAGCTATTTCACTTCCAGTCAGCTGCTTATGATCTATAAGGCACAGATCCGACCTGTCCTGGGATATTGTTCTCATATTTGGAGTTCAGCACCCAAACATACCCTGCTGTTGGATTTTGTCCAAAAAAGGGCAATTCGTCTCGTGAGTGATGCCTTGCTCACAAACTCACTCACTTCTCTGGAACACCGTAGAAAAGTTGGCGATCTGGCTCTATTTTATAGATATTTTCATGGACGATGCTCGTCTGAAATATCAGAAATTGTTCCTCCCTTGAAAGTCCCCGCGAGACTAACCCGTCGAGTTGAGGCTTCGCACCCCTTCGTGGTCACTTTGGAGACCTGCAGAACATCTCTTTCCAAAAACTCGTTTATCCAACGAACAGCGAGGCTCTGGAACACATTGCCAAGGAAGGTGTTTCCCGAGGCATATACCTCCAGAAATTTAAGAAGAACACCAATTCCTATTTCTTGGTTCTCACGATATTCTCTAAAAATTACAGGATATCCCTTTTCGTGGCAACGAGAACATTAAAAAATATTCATCATTGATTAGACTATATGATTTATCTCCTTTTTTTTTATTGTACACCAACCAACAAAAATCCATTTACAGGGTGGGAGATTTATAGGTACAAAAAATGTATAGACTTATCGAGTGAATGCATATTAAAATATGAGGTAACAAGAAATGGAACATAATAGAAGTAAAAATTAATTTCAAAAAGTGATTTTTTTCAACGAAGCAATGCTGCAAGAGAAAATGTCCCATCTCTCATTGATGTTATTGTAATTGCTGCAAATTCTGTATCAAGGTGAGTTTTTTTGTACATTTGTTCGAGGTACTTCGAGGTAATATAGATTGTTTTGCCTAGAATTGACTCTGGGAACATGCTTAACAGAGCTCTACAGCTGATTTGGCCATGGATTACCTTATAAAGAAATATCAGAGCAGATATATTCCTCCTATTTTCAAGAGAATTGAAGTTATATATCTCTAATAAAGCATTATTAGATATTCCAACAGCAGGGTAGCCACCATCCTTCTTGAATGATAGATATTTTATGAAACGTCTATTGATTCGTTCAAGGCTATTTATATGAACATTATAGTATGGACACCATATGACAGAAGCATACTCCGTTTTTGATCGAACATAGAAGTTATACAAAAGGAGCAGGGTATTCATTTTTGTAAAATCGCGAGTATTTCTGACAATGAAACCTAAAGCAATGGAGCATTCATTGGTGATTTTATTTATGTGAATTGAAAAAGATAGTTTATGATCAAAGGTTATACCTAGGTCACGGACAGAATTAAATCGAGGGAGCGCGTCATTGCCAATTGAGTAATTATGAATAAAATTATTCTGTTTACGTGAAAACATTACAATCGAACACTTTTTGGCGTTCAACAGCAGATGATTCTTTATGCACCAGGTATATACCCTATCTAGGGCAATTTGTAAGGTAGCATAATCACTCATGCATTTCATCCTTTTATATAATTTCAGATCATCCGCATATAACAAACAGTTGACTCCAAGATCCTCAATAATGTCATTGATGAATAAATTGAAGAAAAGCGGTCCCAATACAGAGCCTTGTGGAACGCCAGATGTTGTTACAAAACTCATGGAACTCGAACCAAGACATTCTACGTAGAGAGAGTGGTTTTTCAAATAAGAATTGATGAAAGTATTCAAGTTACCTGAGAATCCGAAACCATTCAATTTACTGAGTAATATGTTATGATCTAGCTTATCGAAGGCTTTGGAGAAATCTGTGTAAATAACATCGACTTGAGCATTATCATCGAACGCGTTAGTTATGTACTGGGTGATACAAAAGAGATTGATGGTAGTTGATCTCCCTTTGAAGAAACCATGCTGAAACTCAGTAATTTGTTTTTTTACATGATCAAAAAGTGTTTAATTTAGCAGGATTTCAAAAGATTTAGAACAGTTATGAACAATCGTGATAGGTCGATATTCGATTTTCGACATCATGTTTATCGCCTTCTTTGAAAACTGATATCAGTTTAGATTGTCTCAGTACAAGAGGGAACTGCTGATATTTCAATGAGAGGTTGAAAAGTAATGTTAAAAGGTTTCGCAAAAATGGATGCACAGTCATGAATCAAAAAAGCAGGTATTTTATCAGGTCCCATCGTATTTTTCGGTTTGATCTTCTTGAGAGCTTCAGAAACTCCGGTTTGTGAAAACTCGGTGATAGTTCAAGCGTCGTCTGTCAAGTTAACAATGCGATCATTTTGGACTGTTGGATCGGGAGTGGCATAGGAATTTTGAAAATATTCAGCGAAAGCATTGGCAATGCTCACTGGATCATTATGTTCCATACCATTGTAGACCATTGTCAGAGGTAGAGATGACGAATGTTTCTTTTTCTTAATGAATTGCCAGAAATTTTTAGGGTCTGTTTTGATTTGCTGTTCGATATTCCGGCAATAAACTTTATAGTTAGACTCAACTTCAAACTTTACTTCTCTTCTGATAGTTTGGAATTCTATCAAAGCAAGCTGATCATTGAATTTTTTGTGTTTACTCCAAGCTTTGTGTTTACATCTGAGTTTCTTGATGATGCTTGAGTTATACCAAGGCGGATAGTTTCTTCTACAGGCCTTGACTTGGGGCACCACCGAGTCAATAATGCCCTTCAACATAAAATAAAACTGATTGAATCCTTCATTCAAATCAGATATATTTTACATAAAATCCCAATCAGTAATAGAAAGTTTATCATAGAGCCCAAGAAGATTCGCTTTTTTATAGTTATAATATACCGAATTGATATCATTTTTATTGTTACGACGCCTACCGATCAAATCGAATGTAATTAGGAGGGAGGGATGATGAAGAGACATGTGGTGATGGCTCCCTACCATCAAGAGTTGATAAATATTCACTCAAATAAAAATCTCCAATGAATAATATATTGTTATTGTACAAGAAATCTGATGAGCTCCATGTTTCAAAAAGTGTGTTATATATTTATACTGTGTTATTTGAAGGAATATAGAGAAGAATTATGTAATAGGAGTGATGTACTATTTTCAATTTCGCACATAGTATGTCGATCATATATAAATCATCGAATGATGAAATTGCTTTCAAATCTTGATCTTCCACAGTACATACACTGTTGTCAATTACAAGCGTATTTCTTGATATCACCAAGCTTGGCGTTAATGAAAGATTCACAGTACTTGCAGTACGCTTTGGTGGAGTCTGTGGTGCATGGTTGCAGCCAACCTTTCATCTCCGGCAGCTTTTTCTACTCGCCTCTATATTTTTGCATGTATTGTGGAGGCACTGGAGAATATTTTTTCACACAAGATTTGGAATAACCAAACGCACTTTATTTATGAACACAGGCGGCAGCAGACACTCAGATAATGAGATATAAGATAACTAAGTTAACGATAACGATGACACAAAAACATCACCCAATAAAGTTGGGTTAGATTGTTATGTTAGGTGCAGCTCGCTCATGCTCGTTCTTCTGTGAGCGAGCAGCAATCATTAATTATTTCACTAGATATTCTCCAAATGAATCATAAATACACCAACTTTGAGACCATCCTCAAACACTTCTCAAAATTCTCTTTGGCACAATGAAATTCTACAGTTTTGGTGACAAATACACCAAGTTGGTAACACTGCTTTCCTCTCTCGTCCCGCGACTACCATCGTCCCAGGTTCATACACAGCGGCGTAACATTACTCTATCTAATTGCGACACTTCAACAGGTACAAAATTTTTATGAGTACCGTAAAACAGCGTTGAACACTTTTTACATTCAAATGGTCGTATTTTCAACGCGTGTGCAATTCTAACAAAAATATTTATATATACTTTGGGGCTATACATCAATGAATATGCTTTTGGTATTTATTTTGTCTGAGTCCTTTTGGGGTTTTTTTGAAATTGCTGCCTCTGCGAGCTTTTTCTTACTTCTCAAATTATATCTTGTCGTTATATGATTTTGCGAGTCGTGATGTTTTTGTTCCTCATATTCGGATTTCTTTGTTGCTGCTGAGGTATCCTCGTTTTCCGACTCATCTTGCGACGGTTCGTTGTTGTCTTCTCTAATATCCTCATGGTCGGTCTTAGAATTTTTGGCGTTTTCTAAATAGTTGGAGGTTTGGTCGTCGTTTTCAGGAGGCGGTATATATCTACACCAAGGATCATTCCATTGCAGCATCCTTGATACGTGTACCGTGTCGAATTTTGCGTTTTTGTTGCTCCCCTTCCTTATTTCGTAATTCACTTCACCTAATTTTCTTTCAACTGTGTAGGGACCGAACCACTTCAGCAGCAACTTTTCGCTTTTTCCTACTTTCCTTACTGGGGTGAATATTTTTATTTTGTCTCCTTTCTGGAAGTCGAGAATTTTGTCGTTTGTTTATGTTTTCTACAGCCAAGCTTCTAACGAGTAATGCTTTTTCTCTTATTTGTATGGCATCTGTTGTGCACTGCGTTTCCATTATATTCGCCTCTGTGGGGATTAAGGGTTCTCTGCCGTATACCAACATGAATGGTGAGTATTTTGTGGTTTCTTGTCTTGCACTGTTGTAAGCGAAGGTGATATGTGGTAAATACTCATCCCAGTCGGTTTGTTTCGTGTTAGTATACATTGCGAGGGAATCGGCTATTGTCCGATTCAATCTTTCCGTCAGGCCATTGCAACAGGGGTGGTAAGCTATGGTGAATCTAGAGTTAACACCCATGATTTTTGCAGTTCTTGTACGATGTTTGACCTCTATCTGATAAGATAATTTTCGGGCTGCCGTGCTTCAGGATTATGTTCTCGATAATAAATGCAAAATATTTTCACCGCTTTGTTACAATGAGTAACAGACATAGGAGAGATATGGTTAAGGAAACATAAGCCACGACCCCTGCTCCTACGAACCATGAAGGAATTAAAGAACCTATTGGGGCTTGTTTTGATTCTTTGTCGGGAGTTATGTCTGTTGCCTCAACCCGCATTATGTCTTTGCCAAAATCACTGATTGAAGACCACCCATCCCATTCCGCTGCTGTGGTGAATGGATCGTTTCTGTTTAGAGAATCGAACCTGATGTCGCTGTCATTGAATAGATCTACCCCTATCCTCTCTGCCGAATTTATCGAGAAGCAGAAATCATCATCCCTTGATATCCCTCTCCTGCCTTTCCTGAATGTGGTTCCTGAGTCGCAGTTGGTGTATGGGCTAAAGGATCTGTTGATGCAGAGATGCAGTTTGAAAGTTTCCTCGTTTATCCATTCCGACTTAGCAGGAATGTCTAAAAGAATGGGGATTAGCTCGTCATCCAGCTTTGAGACGGACTTTACTAATGTTATACACATGTCCTCAATGCGCCTTCTATTGTTTCTTTCTATATAAAGGTTTGTCTCAATCTCTAACTGTCTATATGACATTTCGATGATGACTTCTTTGAGATCTTCGACACTGACTGCCTTTTCTAATTTGTCAAAATCCTGCAATATAGGGGAGAGTGTTGAGTTGTTCCCAGGCCAAAAACCCTTCTGTTTGCCCCACTCATCTATGGCTTCTATGTTGAGGACCTCTAACACTATATTCCGATAATAAGATTTATATGTTTTTGGGTCCACTAAGAATGGTGTCCCTCCTCCTTTGCCTTCTTCTTGCCACACACAACTTATCTCTTCTCCCCTCCTCACCAGACATGTTGTGTCCTGCTCCAGCATAGATTTCTTCCACGGGTCTTCAAGGAGATGCATTGTCAATCTATCCTCGATGTTGAAAGTAAATGGGCTGTTTTCCCCTGAACTATTTGGTCTTACCAGCAGAGGAAGATCAGTGATTTCTACCAGGCACTCCCATGATGATATGCACGAATACTTCCACTTCACGATCCACTTCTGCCCTATCCATGTATGTTCCCTCCTCTCAACGTTTCTTCCCATCGGAAAGGCATTTATCCGCTCCACTACTCCAGCAGTCGTCGTCATAAGGTGCACACAAATACCCTATTGAACAAGTCCTTTCCTTTTCCCACTTCAATACTTCATCCCTTGTGAGAGGATAGGGTGTTGTTTTCATAGTGCACGGATTGTTTTGGAAGGCACCTTCGCAATAGTGTGTCCATCTTGTTCTCCTACTAATTGCAACTTTGATCTTAGAGGGGTATCTTGTCAAGGAGGCTCTAGAATTCTTTCTCAGCGTCAGAGGAACCATTTGGTTTGGAAACACAAGGTAATTTGTTCTCTCGCTCTCAGTTTTCTTGCATAGAGTCCCTTGGCTCCTTTTCCCCTCCTCTCTCTTTCCATTTTCCTGGGCTCCCATGCATTGTAGGATTAGGGCTGCGAGAGCAAAGTATGGTTTCAAGAACATATTGATATTTTTCTATAACTGTCTGTTTCTACTGTGAGAACACATAGGTCAGAGTCATATGTCATACCCTCTTAGTTTTTTGCTTCCTCGGGGAGCGTAGCTGGGGTGACACTAGTAGAAACACACTCTTTGCTAATCGAGAGGTATTAGATTTTGTATCCTCTGAGGCTTTACTCAATACTTGACCAGCTAATTGAATCAGGTAAGATACAGAGCCACATTAGGAGATCAATCAATGAGAACACACAGGTCAACAAACTTTATTGAAAACAAATATGGGTACTTACATAAATAATCAAATCGTCGACCCAACCGGACCAATCTCTCACAGCTGCCACTCGAACACGCGGGTATTTCACTAAAGGGTTCGTCGAGCCTCGATTTTCGAGACCACCATTTCTCTATCGCAGCCTAATTGATAATGCTCATTCGTTTCCTCAATCAGTCTTTCGTGAGTCAACTGCTGACTCTTTAGTTCTTCGCCAAAGTAGCTCAAAGTTAATGAACTTATTCATTAGAGGAACATTGTTTGTTATTTTGGAAACGGTGAACTTTAGGTATTGCTGATATAAATCGATTGTGCAATAAAAGGTTAATAGACGAATGTATAGAATGTAGATCGGAGCATACGGAATAATAATAGTAATAATAATAAATTCTCAAATCAGAGTTGACAATATATTCGTTCCTTTTACCTGTTTTCTCTGAAGGGCCGTAGTGATCTATATGTATCACTTCAAATGGTTATTTTGCTTTCGGAATATTGTGTAAGTAGTATCCTCACTTTTTCCTGATTTTTGGTTGAATTCGATACTTTGAGACAATTATCTATATGCTTTTTAATCTTCTCTCTAATTTGAGAAAACCAATAACTCCTGGTGATAAGTTCAATTGTTTTTTCTACACCAAAGTGTCCCAACTCGTTATGGTGAGTGTGCATTATATCAAATTCCATTTCATTAGGTACATAAAATAGTATAGTTCTTTTCGAAATCTTTCTATAAACTAAACCATTCCTCAGCTCAAATAAAGGATGTTCTGATTCTTTTAATGTTTCCTTAATTAGTATGATTTCCTTATCAGAATTTTGTTTAAGTGCCAAAGTCTGTTCAAAAGTATTACCTTCTAATACTAAGATATTATGATTTTGACTAAGGGCATCTACATGGCGCATTCTGGCGCATAGATGTTCAATAGTGAAATTATAGTACTGCATGGAATCCTTTTCGGAATGGGTGAGCCGAAAACTATCACAATCAGTAAGAATCTGAAATGGTATTCCCTGTAAATAAATATGAATACTTTTATCTCATAGAATTAGAAATACCTGATTTGAAATTGAAGTACAAAATTGGTTTAAACATTTTATCATACAAGATATATCTAAATTTGAATGGATTCCATAGCGAAATCTCAACCAACCTTGAGAATACTGTAATGACCATAAGGTAAAGTATCTGTGGAATCATCAATTAAATACCTCTTGTCATCGAATGGACTCAAAACTATTTTCGTTTGTTCAATAGAATAAACTTCATATGAACGTGATTGGATGTTTCTTTGCTTTTTATATTTCTTCTTATTATTTTTCAAACAGTCCAAATAATCGTCAAATGTGATTTTTTTCTTGACTACATAAAATTTTACACCTTTTGACTTTTTAATACACTTCTTTTCACCCTCAGTGTTTGGTTTATTACTATTGACTAGAAAAGTATATTGTTTTGAACGTAGACCAACAAAGTCAGTTATTATTTCCCCCAGCATTTCATCTTTCATCAAACCGGCTACTTTTTTATTCACTAACGGTATTCTATATTTATTATCTATAGGGTAATCACTTGTATCAAATTTGGTCAAATCTTTTTTGATTACTTCTTCATATACATCATCACAATGTAATTCATATATGAGACTGTCTGTATCTGTATAAAGCAACTTACAATCTGATAATTTGAATTTTTTCAACATGTAATCGTAATGAAAACTGTAAACACAAGTTTTGGATATATCTAAGATAGCCATTCCGATATACAAGGGACGATACCAGATCTTCCGATTTGAATGACACGAATCTATAGGAACCAACATATTTGAATTTTACTTTAGATCCAGGAATATGTTGGGTGAAGCTTATATATTTTTCTTTGTTTATAGGGAGTACGGTGATATATGAATGTTCCACTAAATCTTTGATGATAAAGTGACTTTCGTAGCCACTCGAATTATGAAAAAAAACTGGAACAAAATAAGAATTTCGGTAATTTATGTTACAACTTGAATGACATAATTCACGAAATTCACCTGTGAAATGGTTATGATCTCGAGCTATGGTATCAGATCGCTTGAAAGGTTTTTCACAAATATGACACGTTTCATTATTTTGAACTTCTTCAATTTGCATTGGTTTATTTATTTGCATTTGTTCTTCAATTAATTTTGCAAGATCATCTAATTCGTTTACAAACCAATCAATGCAATTTACACCTCTGAAATTCTTGAACTTTGATACATTTTGATCATAATCACATTTTAAATAATAACCAACACTGAAAGTTTCATGTTTTTGATAACGTGAAGTATTGATCATTTTCCTACCCTCTTGTTCTTCAAATGGAAGAAGCAATGACTCAATGTCGCAATAAACAACGAAAGGTGTTTTTCCTTATATCTGAAATTTTTAAATGATATGTATATTTCATCGTAAAATGATATTTTACACTTATTAACTTCTAAACAAACAACATCATGAGAATATAATTTTTTTCGTGTACTGAAATAGTTCAAACATCTATCACACAGACATTTTTTTTATGTCCTAGCTGATTGGAAACTAATCTTGATAAATCTTTTATCCAACAGAAGTGGTACTGATTTGAATCTTCATACAGTTCATCATCAAAAAATGAAATATCCTCCTCCTCATAACTCACAGAATAATCTTCTTTGTAGATTCACATGACGATCTGGTATTCTGAGATGCTTCACCACCTGATCCTGAATTCTGAGATCGCAAGAATTTCCGTATTGAAACCAGAATCATATGTCCATAAAACATATAGAGCGATTCTAGTATCAAGAAACCATGAGGCTGTTCTGAGATCATTGATCTCTGAATCAACCTAGAATCAAATAATACATAGGTCGATTCTAGTATCATTGATCTCTGAATCGACCTAGGATCAAATAATACATAGGTCGATTCTAGTATCATTGATCTCTGAATCGACCTAGGATCAAATAATACATAGGTCGATTCTAGTATCATTGATCTCTGAATCGACCTATAGGATCAAATGTACATAGGTCGATTCTAGTATCTTGATATTAGAATCGACATTGTCTATCCCAGAACATATAGAGCGATTCTAGTATCCAAAAACCATGAGATCATTGATGTTTGAGTCGACCTACGATCAAATGGAACATAAGGCTGTTCGATAGATCATTGATACTAGAATCGACCTAGTATCAAATAATACATAGGTCGATTCTAGTATCTTGATATTAGAATCGACATTGTCTATCCCAGAACATATAGAGCGATTCTAGTATCCAAAAACCATAAGATCATTGATGTTTGAGTCGACCTACGATCAAATGGAACATAAGGCTGTTCGATAGATCATTGATACTAGAATCGACCTAGTCAAATAATACATAGGTCGATTTTAGTATCTTGATACCAGAATCGACCTTATCTATCTACTTATCAGGAGGTTTTTAAGGAGGTGTCTTTTTCGGGTGAGGCCCTGGCAGTTTACGGTACCGATTGTAAAGTTTGCTGTCATTGCTGTTCGTTTTTTTACATTTTATTTCATTTTGATTTTATATTTTTATTCCCAAATTTTGTTGAAGAAAAACTTCACCTGGTCTCCCGAGCATGTACATATGCAGGTGTGTCCAAATAGGACCTGCATATTTTTGTTCAGACTTGTGAGTATCAGTTGGCGTCTTTCCGGCAAGGTGTTGATTAGTTCGATTGTGTTAAGCATAATTATTGATTTAGTGGCTTCGGTGAGCTCTGGAAGGATTGGGAGGGGGGTTAGGACTACTGGAGCAACTTCCGATGGGGTTTGGAGGGGGTTCGGCCCTTTTGGGGCATTTAGGGGAAAAGGCGGGGTGATTTCCGTTGCAATTTTTGCATTTCGTATTTTGAATTTTTGGGCACTGTTGGGGTTTATGTTCATCGCCGCAATGAGGACATGAAATTCGGTTTTTACATTCCTCTAGGGAATGTCCGTTTTCCGCGCATCTGCTGCAATATTTAGGGATAGGAGGGATACATTGGAGGGTTCAACATGGAATTTCATTCCGAAGAATGAAATACCTAAGTTTAGGGCTCTGGAATAATGGGATTCAGAGTCAGTGATAACTCTGATTAATGTGGTGGGTAGGTTAGTTGCCCGAGAGGTGATTCTCCAGAATCTAATAGTTGTGAACTTTATTTCTTTGAAGGATTCTTCCAGATCCTCCATGGTGATGGGGACACCCTTGATCACCATGGAAAACGTGGGATTCCTTGTGTTTAGTGGTTTTTGATTTGGAAGGTTTTTCGGGTTTAGGAGGATTACGCGGATAGAGTTTTCTCCGGTTGCGTTTTTCAGTTTCATTTCTA